CATCCCCCCAGCTCCCCCCCCCCAGCCCCACATCCCCACATCCCCCCGGCCCCACAGCTCCAGCCCCACATGCCCACAGCCCCACAGCTCCAGCCCCACAGCCCCACAGCTCCATCCCCACATCCCCACATCCCCACGGCCCCACAGCTCCAGCCCCACAGCCACCCGGGGAACTGCAAACCCGTCTCGGTTTCTAACCCGCTAATCCCCAGTCCAACCCTAATCCTTCTGACGATGTCCCCAGCCCTGGCAGCAGCAGAGCCTGCCCAAAGCAGAACCCCGTGTCTGAAGGGGCACACAGGCAGATTAAATCCCTGCTGCTTTCTCAAAAACCCAGAAAAACACACGTATAAACTGAAACACCCCAGGAGGACCGCTCTGTGTCACTCAAGCGTGACAGCCTGTCCGAAAGGAATGCAGGGACTGACAGCCCCGAGGCTGCAGGATCCGTTTGAATGAATGAGTAACAAATTCTGAGTGCCAAATGTGGGTTCCATTCGGTGTCAGTGAATTAGTGCCAAATTCTGAATGCCAAATTCAGGTTCCATTTGGTATCAATGAATTAATGCCAAATTCTGAATGCCAGGTGCAGGCTGTGTTTGGTATCAATGAATTAATGCCAAATGCAGGTTCCATTTGGTATAAATGAATTAATGCCAAATGCAGGTTCCATTTGGTATAAATGAATTAATGCCAAATGCAGGTTCCATTTGGTATAAATGAATTAATGCCAAATAATGAATGACAAATGCTGGTTTCATTTGGTATAAATGAATTAATGCCAAATTCTGAATGCCAAATGCAGTTTCCATTCGGTGTCAATGAATGAATGCCAAATAATTAATGCCAAATGCAGGTTCCATTTGGTATAAATGAATTAATGCCAAATGCAGGTTCCATTTGGTGTCGATGAATTAATGCCAAATAATGAATGACAAATGCTGGTTCCATTTGGTATAAATGAATTAATGCCAAATAATTAATGCCAAATGCTGGTTCCATTCGGTGTCAATGAATGAATGCCAAATGCAGGCTGTGTTTGGTATCAGTGAATTAATGCCAAATTCTGAATGACAAATGCAGGTTTCGTTTGGTATCAATGAATTAATGCCAAATGCAGGCTGTGTTTGGTGTCAATGAATCAATACCAAATTCTGAATGCCAAATGCAGGCTGTGTTTGGTGTCAATGAATTAATGCCAAATTCTGAATGTCAAATGCAGGTTTTGTTTGGTATCAATGAATCAATACCAAATGCAGGTTTCGTTTGGTATCAATGAATCAATACCAAATGCAGGCTGTGTTTGGTACCTCGGTGAGCACTGAACGCTATTTAACACACGTGCAGAGCTCTGCTCTGGTCCTGGAGAGCTCATCACAGAGCTCCTGGGGTTTCTCTCACCCTCATGGTTAAAAACACAAACCCCTGGGAATTTGGCGCAGTTTAAGGCAGGATTGCTGTTTTTGTCAGTGAGCCTTGTCCCACACAAGTTCAGAGTCTGTCAGAGGCAGACCCGAGTACGAATCTCCCCAAAACGATCTGTTTCCATGCAGCCTCCCCATCGCTTCACGCTCACAACACTTCAACGTCACACGCCCTGAACTCCTGCTGCCTCCACAACTCCGCTTTCTTTGTTGGAAACGAACAGCAAGCTGAAAACACCCCCTGAATCCTGGGGCTAAAAACACAGAGAGCTGCCACCAAGCACAGACTGACTGCTGCGGCAGCGGGCTTTGGGAGCGCCCGGTGAGCGCGTTACACAGGCTGGGGTTTCTGAGGAGGGGGTGCATTAACGCTGTCCCCCCTGTGTGTCCCCCTGTGTGTCCCCCCGTGTCCCCCACGTGTCCCACCTTGATGTAGGCGCTGGGGTAGATCTTGTGCACGGCGTCCCCGGGGGCGCGGCCCGCCTCCCTGTCCAGGTAGTAGCTCTGGACGAAGACGGCGTGGTCGCTCAGGCAGCGCACCCAGACGTCGCCCTCGCCCTTGCACTCCAGCTGCACGCCCTTGCCGATGTGCAGCCTGCGGGGAAATGGGGCTGTCAGCGCCGGGGGACGTGCTGGGGACACTGGGGTGTGTGGGGACAGCGGGATGTGTGGGGACAGCGGGGTGTGTGGGGACACTGGGGTGTGTGGGGACAGCGGGGTGTGTGGGGACACTGGGGTGTGTGGGGACAGCGGGGTGTGTGGGGACATTGGGGTGTGTGGGGACAGTGGGTGACTCTGGGGACACTGGGGTGTGTGGGGACACTGGGGTGTGTGGGGACAGCAGAGCCCTGTGTCTGGGGACACTGGGGTGACTCTGGGGACACTGGGGTGACCCTGGGGACACCAGACCCCACCTGGCATCCCCTGACAGACCCCACAGCCGTGCTCCCCCCACCCCACCGAGCCCGGCTGTCACCCGCGGGAGGAGCCAGCAGCGCCAGGGGACAGCGGGACAGGGCGTACCTCGCTCTCTCGATGGCCTCTGTCCGGTGCACGTTGGACAGCTGGCCCAGGCAGAAGCGGTCCCCTCCCGAGGGGTCCACGTAGCCATCCACGGTGACAATGGGACAGCTGGAGGGGACCTTGAACGTCTCCCCGACCTGCACGTCCATCTCAAAGTAGGCGATGGAACACCAGTACTCTGGAGCTGAACAACAGCGCGTCAGCACAGCAGGGACACCGGGACAGGCCGGAGCACGCGGCTGGTGGTGGGTGTTCACACCCGGACACAGTCACACTGACAGCCCCACACGGACACAGTCACACTGACACACACACACACACACGGACACACACACACACACACACACACACACACACACAGAGCACACTGACACACACACTGACACACACACACACAGAGCACACACACAGACACTGACACACACACACACACTGACACACACACACTGACACAGTTACACTGACACACACACACTGACACACACACACACTGACACACACACACACACACTGACACACACACACTGACACACACACCCTGATACACCCTGACACACTCGCACTGCCAGCCCCAGGACACCTCACACTGCAGCGAACACACTCAGGCTCCTCGCTGCTCCAGCACACACAGGAGCGCTACAGGTTTTTGTACGGGTGTAGTTTGTCCCTCCAGACAGGTTTTATCCTGCATTAACACATTCCCTTCTGCTCACAGAGGGACACACGTGTGTCTGTGCGTGGCTGGGCTGGCTGAAAACACCTCTGACACAGCCTGCAGACGTCAGGGGCATCCCTTCCACGGTGAAGGATCCCTCCTGGAGATCCCTCCTGGAGAGGAGGAAAACCCTTCCAAGAAGAAGGATCCTGCACCTCAGAAGGGTTATCCCATTTTCCAGGAGGGATCCTGCACCTGGAAGGGTTTTCCTCCTCTGGAAGGGATCCCCCTGACATCTGCAGCCCCCGGGGCTGGGGAGCAGGGCACGGGGGAGGCAGACCCAAGATCTCCCAGCGATGCTGCCCGTGCAGAGCGCCGGGGACGGGACAGAGCACGGGACAGAGGGACAGAACACGGGACAGAGCACGGGACAGAGCACGGGACAGAGGGACAGAACACGGGACAGAGGGACAGAACACAGGACAGAGCATGGGACAGAGCACAGGGGTGTGCTCTGAAAGCAGAGGAGCTCCTGCGGAGAGCCGGCCCCGAAGGACAGGCGTCTCCTGCAGCCCCATCCCCGCCCTGCCAGGGGAGCAGCTCTCCCTGGAGCATCCTCTGAGTCCCAACACGCGCCGAGAGCCGGCTGAGAGCACCGGCAGGTCCCGGCCACCACTGTGCCACCAGAGCTGGCTGTGCGCCGAGGGCTGCTCCCCGAGGACACCCGGGAGCCCCAAACTGCCGCCAGCCCCGCTCTCTCTGCGTCCTGGGGGCCCGGGCTGGCCGCAGCGATCCGTTCCCAGGAGGAAAACAGGAAAACCTCCCCAGGAGCTCCCAAACCGTGGGATCCCAGAATGGGCTGGGCTAGGAGGGAGCTGAGGGCTCGTGTCATCCCGACCCTGCCATGGCAGGGACACCTCATCCAGCCCGGCCGGGGACACCGCCAGGGCTGGGGCAGCCCCAGCAGCACTCAGCAGCATGAAATAAACACCCTGAGAGACACCAAACAACGTCAAACACTGGGAAAGTGGCAATTCCACCTGAAATTTAGCTACAGGTAAATCTGCCCAGCAAGTTATCAACATTTTACTGCTGGCAAGTTTAACCTTTCGGCTTTTTGAGCGTCTCACTGCTCCTCTGCAGGGAACAGCGTTAAACACAAAATATCACCTTTTAAACACAGAATATCACCTGTTAAACACAAAACATCACCTGTGAAGCACACAACACCACCTGTTAAACACACACCACCACCTTGCAGCTGCGGCAGAGAGCGCTGCCCCAGCGAGAAGGGACAAGTTCTCAAGTTGAAGTGAAGGCACAGGAAGGGGCCCAAGGGCTCTGTCTGTGCCGGGGGTCCCGGGGGGCTCTGGTGGTGGCACAGCGCTGCTCTGGGGCCCGGCTGGGGCACCTGAACCAAACCCAGGTGTCCCAAAAGGCCGGGACAAACCCCGTCTGAACCCAGGGTTTATGGCAGCGAGGCTGCTCTCTCCTCACGGCACACATCCCCCACAGCGCTGTGTTTCAGGCTCTACTCACCGGGATGGTTGGATATAGGAGGCTGGAATGCGAGCTCGTTGTGGACTGGCCCTTGAAAAGAGAACACGAGGTTTGTTCCACAGCAGCAAAAAAACAGGTTTTCTCCCCTAAAACTGCTCTCCCAGGAAACCACCCCTCGTTAGCCTCGTGGGTCACAGAACAAGCTGTCCAGCGCTGTGCGCTGCGTCACCACCAACAACCGCTCAGGAGGGAAAAAAGCCCCGGGGAAGAACACGTTTTTCTAAAGAATAATAAGCTGCACACGGTCTGGAGTCGGGTTGTTCTGTCCCCTCTAGGAACGCGGTCCCCGAGGCAGCAGGGGGGAAACCCAAAGCGTTCTGAGCAACAGCAGCTTTTGCAGCGAGGTGTCAGGGCAGGGAGGTGTCAAAACACGCGGCTCTGATGAGCGAGGGAAGGCGGCAGCCGAGAAAAGCTCGGCGTGGCACCACAAACACCAATTCTGGAGAGACACACGTGTGCTGAAAATCATTTACAGCCAGAGCTGACCAACAGCAGGGTGAGCGGAGTGGGATCCCCGGGGAACAGAGGGGTGGGCATTAACAACAGCACTGACTGGCACAGACAGGCTGCAAACACATTCTGAGGTCAATTTACAGGAAATTCTGCCCTCCAACAACAACACCTGCTGCAGGCAGCTGAGCTGTACTAGAATATCTGTCTTCTAATACAGGAAATACATGTTCTAATATGGGGAGCATTCTAATAAAAACTATTACAAAATAAACTGCTCCAGCTCTCTGCTACAACAACATTTAGAAATCTTTCATTTGTGTGGGAGTGTTTTTAACCCCCTGCAGCCCAGTAATGCATTTCCTGCGCTGCTGGACCCCTACAACAGCAGCCTGAGCACTGCTTTTCCCTCCCCCCACCTCCTGTACCCCAGTACAGTGGTTTGTTGTTTTATTTCACAGATAAAAAATATCTCTGAGTCAGTGCGCTAACGCCCTCATGAACTGACTCCCTGTGTCCCTGTGTCCCCGTGTCCCTGTGTCCATCTGTCCCTGTGTCCCCATGTCCCTGTCGCTGTGTCCCCGTGTCCCTGTGTCCATCTGTCCCTGTCCCCATGTCCCTGTCCCTGTGTCCCCATGTCCCTCTGTCCCCATGTCCCTCTGTCCCTGTGTCCCTGTCGCTGTGTCCATCTGTCCCTGTGTCCATCTGTCCCTGTGTCCCCGTGTCCCTGTCCCCATGTCCCCGTGTGCCCTGCAGGGGACACTGGGGCTCTCTGGGGTGCTTTGGTGTGACACGGGGGGAACGTGGGGAGATCCCTGAGCAGCTGTGCCCCCGACACGGGGACACGGGGACATGGGGACACAGGAAACAGGGACACGGGGACATGGGGACACAGTGACACACAGTGACACACACAGTGACAGTGACACACAGTGATACAGTGACACACACAGTGACACACAGTGACACAGTGACACACAGTGACACACAGTGACACAGTGACACACAGTGACACACAGTGACACAGTGACACACAGTGACACACAGTGACACAGTGACACACAGTGACACACAGTGACACAGTGACACACAGTGACACACAGTGACACAGTGACACACAGTGACACACAGTGACACAGTGACACACAGTGACACACAGTGACACAGTGACACACAGTGACACACAGTGACACAGTGACACACAGTGACACACAGTGACACAGTGACACACAGTGACACACAGTGACACAGTGACACACAGTGACACACAGTGACACAGTGACACACAGTGACACACAGTGACACAGTGACACACAGTGACACACAGTGACACAGTGACACACAGTGACACACAGTGACACAGTGACACACAGTGACACACAGTGACACAGTGACACACAGTGACACACAGTGACACAGTGACACACAGTGACACACAGTGACACAGTGACACACAGTGACACACAGTGACACAGTGACACACAGTGACACACAGTGACACAGTGACACACAGTGACACACAGTGACACAGTGACACACAGTGACACACAGTGACACAGTGACACACAGTGACACACAGTGACACAGTGACACACAGTGACACACAGTGACACAGTGACACACAGTGACACACAGTGACACAGTGACACACAGTGACACACAGTGACACAGTGACACACAGTGACACACAGTGACACAGTGACACACAGTGACACACAGTGACACAGTGACACACAGTGACACACAGTGACACAGTGACACACAGTGACACACAGTGACACAGTGACACACAGTGACACACAGTGACACAGTGACACACAGTGACACACAGTGACACAGTGACACACAGTGACACACAGTGACACAGTGACACACAGTGACACACAGTGACACAGTGACACACAGTGACACACAGTGACACAGTGACACACAGTGACACACAGTGACACAGTGACACACAGTGACACACAGTGACACAGTGACACACAGTGACACACAGTGACACAGTGACACACAGTGACACACAGTGACACAGTGACACACAGTGACACACAGTGACACAGTGACACACAGTGACACACAGTGACACAGTGACACACAGTGACACACAGTGACACAGTGACACACAGTGACACACAGTGACACAGTGACACACAGTGACACACAGTGACACAGTGACACACAGTGACACACAGTGACACAGTGACACACAGTGACACACAGTGACACAGTGACACACAGTGACACACAGTGACACAGTGACACACAGTGACACACAGTGACACAGTGACACACAGTGACACACAGTGACACAGTGACACACAGTGACACACAGTGACACAGTGACACACAGTGACACACAGTGACACAGTGACACACAGTGACACACAGTGACACAGTGACACACAGTGACACACAGTGACACAGTGACACACAGTGACACACAGTGACACAGTGACACACAGTGACACACAGTGACACAGTGACACACAGTGACACACAGTGACACAGTGACACACAGTGACACACAGTGACACAGTGACACACAGTGACACACAGTGACACAGTGACACACAGTGACACACAGTGACACAGTGACACACAGTGACACACAGTGACACAGTGACACACAGTGACACACAGTGACACAGTGACACACAGTGACACACAGTGACACAGTGACACACAGTGACACACAGTGACACAGTGACACACAGTGACACACAGTGACACAGTGACACACAGTGACACACAGTGACACACACACAGCGACACACACAGTGACAGCCAGCCCGCGGGGCGGCGCACGGTGCTCACAGTAGTGCCCGGGGTGCATGGGCGGGTGGTGCTGCAGGTGTCCGTTCTGGTGGTGCGGGATGGTCGGGGTGTAGGCGGCCGTGCGGCTCCCGGTCCAGCTGGTGGTACTGTCTGCAAAGACAAGGCCGGCGGCTGGGCGAGGCGGCCCGGCGCTCCCTGCGGCTCCTCTGCTGCTCCTGGGCGCTGGGAAAGCGGGCTGAGCGGGCCGAGGGCAGGCGCAGGGCCATACTCACTGTGGTGGTAAGTGGCTGGCTGGGCTGTGAACCCATTCTGCTGAGCTCCCGGCCCTGAAGCAATCTGTAAGAGTCCATCACTATGGCTACCTGTCAATATACTGGGAGGTTGACCTGGTGAAAGAACACACTACCTATGGATGAACGTTCCAGGACGGTGATCCACACCAGCTCGGCGCTGCTGGCCGGGAGAACACGCCCCGCGCCGAGGGCACTGCGCCGCACGGCTCCCACGGCTTCCCTGCCGGGACCTCCTGCTTCTCCACCCGCCAGGAAACCCGGGGCGGAACGCCGGGCAGCGGGTGGCTGTGCGACACTCTGACACCCCTGACCATCCTGAATCTGCGCCCTAGGGCTCCAGGAGCTGTGAGAACTCGGAACGTCAGCCCCGTCCTCGCTGCGCTCACACCTCGCTTCTCAGCGCGGGAGGGGACAAGGGGACACACCTCCATCACCTGTGCTGGGAACAGGCTCAGTGTGATCCCAGAGAGGCCAGCAGCAGCAGGAGGGGACAAGGGGACACAGCACCATCACCTCTGGGAACGGGGTCAGTGTGATCCCAGAGAGGCCAGCAGCAGCGGGAGGGGAGAGGGGGATACAGCACCATCACCTCTGGGAACAGGGTCAGTGTGATCCCAGAGAGGCCAGCAGCAGCAGGAGGGGACAAGGGGACACAGCACCAGCATCACCATCACCACCTGTGCTGGGAACAGGCTCAGTGTGATCCCAAACAGGCCAGCAGCAGCGGGAGGGGAGAAGGGGACACACCTCCACCACCTCCTCTGCTGGGAACGGGGTCAGTGTGAACCCAGAGAGGCCAGCAGCAGCAGCAGCAGCAGCTCCAGCCTGTTCCCAAGGTGTTTTAGCTGCTGTTCCCCAGGAGGACACCTGCTTACATTCGTGCTCCTCCAAAACACTCTGAGCAGTGCTCTGTTTTTATAAACACTGTCTCAATAAAGCTGCACACAGCGCTGGGCTCAGAAACACCCTGCTTCTTTTTTTATTTTCTTTTTTTTTTCTCTCTTTCCTCCCAGATAAATATCCCAAGAATTATCCAAGATTGAAACTGCGGATATTTCAGGTGAACAGAATCCGACTGCAAAAGGCTTCAGCTCAGCCATTAACGCTGAACTCATCAACACTTTCACAATTACACTCGCACTCTCACGCTGGTGTGGCTGGCAGAATTTAACACATCCACAACTTGCAGTAAAACATAAAAATGAGCTGGTTTTTTTTTTTTTTGTCACTTGCCTCTGACGATTACGGCACCGCCGAGAAGAGGTTACCACTACAAACTGCAGTGCAGAGGCAGCACAATTAGCACAATTAACAACCCACACCCCCTTTATCTCTGCTGGGCACAAATAAAGACACGGCGATGCTACAAATGTCGGCACTTTGAGCCAGAAAGTCATCAGCTGAGATGAAGGGGGGTTATCAGATCACCGTCTCGCCACAGCTCGGATCTGGTGGTGACACCAGCCGTGTTCACACATTCTTGGTGTGCACAGGGGCAGGGATGGGCTGCAGGACGCTTGGCTGTCCCGCTGCACCGAGGGGCGGACACAAACTCCTCCACTGGCACCAGACGCGCAGAAAAGCAACAAAAACCCCGAGGCAGCTCTCCAAGGCTGGAAACATCAAACACGAACCGTGAGAACCGCTGTGAAAACGGTGCTGTTGAAACTACAGAACTGCCTGCGGATGTCTGGGTGCTGCCCCTCACAGCACACTCCTTTGCCGCAAGACAACAACAAAACTCCTCTATTTCTGCGGCAGCTATCCCAGGACAGGCACGAGGCTCTGTCGGAGCTCAGCTCTGACACCCTGACGCCCAGCCTCTGGCACACAGCAGCGCAGGGAGCCGCCGGAGCGCCGCTCCGGTTCCCACCTGCTGCTGCTCAGAGCCAGGAGAGCGCCCAGGACCCGACCCCGGCGCCACGGCCCCGCTCAGCGCCGCGGGCAGCCCCATCCCCTTACTTGTGGAGGCCACGGGAATGTTGGGGAAGTTGGTGGTGCTGGTGGTGCTGGCCTCGGCGGGGGCCAGCATGGCCGGGGCGCTGTAGGGCTCCGAGGACGCCCGGTTGCTGGGCGGGTGCTGGATGGTCTGCACCGAGTGGCCCTCGGCCGACGACAGCGACGGCTGCCCCTCGTAGTCGTGCACGTACTCGTCCTTCACCAGCATGCTGGAGGGAGCTGTGGGGACACCAGAGGGGACGCTCGGGGACGCTGCCGGCCGGGTCCGAACCGGCCGAGAGCCCAGGGGTGTCCCTGCGGCACAGCCGGACAGCGGGGCTCGGACAGCGGGGCTCGGCGCTGGGGCACCGAGGCGTGCACGGAGCGGAGCCGGGCTGCTCGCTCTGCCCAGCCCCACGGCAGCAGGGCCCAACGTCAATTCAAAAGGAATTTCTGGCTTTTTTCGGGGAATTTTCGGGAATTCTGGGGAACTTTTTGGGGGAATTCTTGGGATTTTGGGGAACGCGGGCACCCCTGCACACAGCCAACACAAGAAAACAAAGTGTTCTCCTCGGCTGCTCGCTCTGCCCAGCCCCACGGCAGCAGGGCTCACTTCAAATCAAAAGGAATTTTTGGCTTTTTTGGGAATTTTTTGGGAATTTTGGGGAATTCTGGAGAAATTTTTGGGGAATTTTGGGGTGTTTTTGGGAATTTTGGGGAATTCTGGGGAATTTTTGGGGGAATTTTGGGGAATTTCGGGGAATTTTGGGGGGAATTTTGGGGAATTTTGGGAATGTGGGCACCCCAGCACACAGCCAACAAGAGGAAATAAAGTGTTCTCGGCTGCTCGCTCTGCCAAATTTTGGGGAATTTTGGGGAATTTTTTGGGGAATTTTGGGGAATTTTTTTTGGGAATTATTTCTGTATTTCTGCGTTTATTTCTGCTAACTCCTACGCCTCACTGCCTCCCGTGCTCCCTTCTGAAGCAGAATAAAACAGCTCAGAGCCTGTTCCCTGCTGCAAGAGCAGCACAAGGGAACGCTTACGGTGTGTCCAGACACCGGCACCAGACAATGAAATTATTTAATGATAATATCTAATAATGATAATGATAATGATAATGATAATAATAATAATAATAACGATAATGATAATGATAGTAACAATAAATTATATTATATTGTATTGTATTGTGTTGTATTATATTATATTGTATTGTAT